GATGTTCGAAGAAGACCGCTTGAGTATGAGGTTGGTGACCATGTGTTCATCCGTGTATCTCCGATGAAGGGCCAAGTCAGGTTTGGAAAGAAGGGCAAGTTGTCGCCCCGTTACATTGGGCCGTTTCAGATTTTGGAAAGGCTTGGCCCAGTTGCCTATAGAGTTGCTTTGCCACCGGGATTCGAACAAATCCATAACGTGTTTCAAGTGTCGATGTTGAGGGGTTACCTCCGAGACCCGTTCCATGTGATTGATTATCACCGGGTAGCTATTGATGAAAATATGGAGTACGCCGAATGGCCGGAACGAATCGTTGACCGGCAAGTGAAACAATTGAGAAGCAAGTCCATCCCAATGGTGAGAGTAGAATGGAAAGAACACTATAGGACGGATGCCACGTGGGAAAAAGAGGATGAAATGCGCCTGCGCTATCCACATTTGTTTCCCGACGAAGGTAAAATAAGTTTGAGGGACCAAACTTTCTAAAGGGGGGAAGACTGTGATATCCCTGTTCCGCAATATGTTAGTTAGTCCTTAATATGAGTATGGTTATGTGTTTAACATGATTTTGTGTGCCATTATATGAAAATATGTGGTTTTGAATTTCTATATGTTCACCGTAGGAATATCTGTTTGATTATTTGCTTTGGGAATTAAATTGAAGGCCCTATCGGCCATCGAAACCAAAATTGATTACGCCATTGTAATTAGTGTAATTTTTAGAGCCTCGGTGAAATTTAATTGGAAATTAATTCGGATCAGATTAAATTGATTTAATTAGTGAATTAGTGCTCTATTATTATATATTAAAATAATATAACAAGAGGGGCTTTTATATGAGCACTACACACTCAATTTCTCTTCTTTAGCTTGACTTGGCTGATTTTAAACTCTTAGGAAAAGGAGAGGGTCGGCTAGAGAGAGAGAGGGTGAAGGAAATTGGAGTTTTGGCCTCAAAGCTTGGTGATCTTGAAGGCACACTCAAGAAATTACCATAAATTGTAAGGATTAAGCTCCTAGGTGAATAATCACCCCTTGGTTCATAAGTTTGAACATGTGATTTCGTGTATTCAAGCTAGTTGGGTGATCAAGAGTAAGAGTTAACATGATTTGAGTTGGTTTTGTTGATTTGGTAGTCTATATACACATGAATGTGAAGAATTGTTTTGAAATTGCATGTTTGAGCACAAAATGTATAATCCATGGGAGATTTTGATTAAAGCTCTTATTTTGATCTTCTCTTCATCATCTAAGTTGAGAATGAGAGTAATTTGCCACATGCATGTACAATTCACAAGGGTGTAAGTGTTGAATGCATGAAATTATTATGTTGATAATGAATTTGGTGTAAATTGGGACATGCATGTAATTAATTTGTGAAATGGAGCTTCATAATGTTGTGATTTGGTGTTTATACCATGTTAGTACATGTATATGTGATGTTTGAGCCAAAAGCATGCATCTAGAACCTTTGAATGTCAAATTGAAGCTCAAGAACATGTTCTGGATTTTTCAGAATTTTGATTCCCGCTCGAGCGGGGAAACCGCCACTCGAGCGTGAAATTCGTGTTCCCAGTATTTTCTGCAGACATGGTGTCCGCTCGAGCAGGGAAGTTCATGCTCGAGCGAGGAGCCATGTAGAGAGGCCTTCCGCTCGAGCGCCAGAGTTCGCGATCGAGCGTAAATTTGACATATCCAGTACTTTTGCAGGCCTCAAGGGTTCGCTCGAGCGGGGACCCTGTTTTCTAAAATTTTGAAAAGACATTTTGTGTTTCATTTTCTGTTCTCTTTCACTTCTAAGTACTCTTAGGCATGCATTGAGCATTGTAATTGAGTTAAAGAGATAAGAATGAAGCCTAAAGAGGAAAATGTGAATTTAGAACGGATCGAATTGTTTGTGACCATTTTGTGTTCATGGAATGTGTAGGGTCGAGCTCCAGGGCAAACTAACCAATCGATCACTGTGAGTAATATCTTAACAGAGATATCTGAAATATGTTGTTGTCCAATTGCTTACTTCTATGTAAGTTTTATAAGTTCATTGATTAGATTGGTGGACAATGTTTGCTATACCAAATGAGTGGGTTGGAGGCCAGTGTGATTTGAATAATAGAATAAATGGGCCAGAGGCCGTTTTGACATGAATAGATGGGCCAGAGGCCATTTTGACATGCATGGATGGGCCGAAGGCCGTTTTGACATGAGTGAATGGGCCAAAGGCCGTTTGACATGAATGAATGGGCCGGAGGCCGTTTTGACATGAATGAATAGGCCAGAGGCCGTTTCGACATGAACGAATGAATGGGCCAAAGGCCATTTTGTCATTTGAATGGGTTAAAGGCCGTTTTGACACAAATGAAAGTTTGAATGGGCCAAAGGCCAGTTTGTTTAGAACCGCAGTCACTTGACCTAAATTGTGTATATATGTTAAATAGAAATATGAATTAGGCCTAAGGTCGTTTGAAGCATGTTGTTCTACATATCGTCTGTATAGCTTCTTTAATTGATATTATGCACTGGGCTTCGCTCACGCTCATTCATGTGTTTGTAGGTGAGCCAAGAGAAGTCCAAACCCTGCCCCAGTGAAGTCTATGTGGAACAACAAAGGTTTTGGGAGAGTCAGCCCTTGTGTCTCACGCACGAGACCCGTCTTCGCCCTTTTGCTATGTATTTATATTCTGTCATGTTGGCGAAGACTTTGCATCTGTTGTATATAGTCGTGATGGGTTGACTTAGACTTATATGATCCTATATATACAGAACCTTATGTAGTACATATTTTGTTGTGAGTTATTAATATACATATGTATGGTTTGTTATAATGTGCCATGTAAGCACAGCTCTATGGACAAAGTTTTAAATTGCTTCCGTTTGGCCTCCATTAACTTTGTTAAAATACGTTTGGTTTGGTTCAAGGCTGTAGGTAATCTCTTGATTACTGGCCGGTTATGTCCTTAACCCACGGGGGCGGGTTCGGGTCATGACAGACCAAGTACGTGGACATATTGGATAGAGCTCTTATGACCGAGACCAATTTAGCAGCCTTGAAACAAGCTAAAGCTTTGACAACCGAATGGAGAGGCAAAAGATTCAGGTTTAATTTCAGAAAGGGCCGGTCATTCTCAAAGAAGCAAAATACGGGATCTACGAGCAACTCAAGTTAAAGTAATGGATCTGCACCTACCTGTTCTGAATGTGGAAGAAAACACACTAGGATCTATGCTATTGTACTACAAGTGCCTGCTTCAAGTGTGGCAAGATTGGCCACATGGTAAAAGATTGTCCACTCATAGCCGAAAATACCAACCGCCCTACGGGAAGTTTAGCCGGATCTGTTTCTGTACCGAGAACAAATATAAGAACCAATATGCGAGAAGAAACCTTGAGGCAAGGGAGAGTGTTTGCACTTGTACCAAGAGATGTTCAGAATACCGAATCTGTGGTGTCAGGTATACTTCCTATTTATGCCCAAAATGCATGTGTTGATAGATTCTGGATCTGCACATTCGTTTGTGTCACACGCTTTCTCTCAGAAATTGACTAGACTATTAGAACTTATGAATTCTCTATTATCTGTATCTGCACCATTTGGGGGTTCTATGCTATGTGCTTATGTGTATCTGGCATGCAATGTTGTGATTAATGATATGATGTTATATGTTGATTTGCTACCCTTGAATATTGATCATTTTGATTATATATTGGGTATGGATTGGTTGACAAAGTACCATGCCACCATTGATTATGTTGATAAATTTGTTATATTTTGACCACCGGGTTACCTGAGTTTGTATTTGTTGGAAATGGTGTAATTCCTCCTCCATATTTGATCTCTTTTATGAAAGCCAATAAACTACTGAGGAAGGGTTGTATGGGTTATTTGTCTTGTGTATTAACTGTGCCTGCAGATAGTTCTAATATGGAAAATATCCCTATAGTCAATGAATTTCCTGACGTGTTTCCTAATGAATTTCCTGGAGAATTGATAGATAGGGAAATTGAATTTACCATTGAGATAGTACTTGGAACATAACCAATTTCTAAGACCCCATACAGAATGTCCACAACTGAATTGAAAGAACTTGAAGGGGGCACAATTATTCAAGCCTATTTGTATGGAACCTAGTTGGGCTAAAACAAAGGTCCCCACTCCGAAGTGGGCCCCTTCTCCCACTTTAAGATGGGCCGAGCTAAGGGTTCAGTCTTCTCTTATTCTCTACTCCGAAGTGGGGAAGGCCATGGGCCTAGCCCTAACACCCATCCCAACATGTGTTGTTACACAATCGATGGTGGCACAGTATTTAAATAACCAGTCCATACCCAGAATTATATCAAAATGTCTAAAGTCCAAGGGAAACAGATCTACATCCAAAGTATCATTCCCAATACGCATATCACAAAATCGACATATAGATGTACACAACACAGATTCCCCAGATGGAGCAGATACGCATAACAAATATGGCAATAATTCTAGAGGTCTACTTAATCTAGATGCAAAAGCATAAGTTACAAATTAGTGTGTTGATCTGGAGTCAATTAACACAAAAGCATCATAATTACATATAGAGATAGTACTTGAGACGATGGCTTCTGCGCTCTGTGTATCACCTGGAACGAGTGCAAAGACTCTCCCTTACCTCACAGTGTCTCTGGTGGTAATAGGCCCCGTAATGTTTCCTGATTTTAGGATCGATGCAGTTGAGGTAGCAGCTAACTCCCCACTATTTTGATTACAATCCCTGGCCATATGCCCTGTTTTACCACACTTAAAGCAGGCTCCTGAAACACGGTAGCAAACCCCGCGATGTCTTTTACCACATTGGTTACACATTGGAGACGTATCTCGTGAAGAATTTGAAATGCTTGAGGAGCCCGTATTCTGTTTCTTTGTAAGTCTTTTCTTTGAAAAGAAGCCCTGCCTTTTACTTTTCCAATCAGTTGGTGATTTATTCTGCCTAGCTATGTTAGTTTCTGATATTATGGCCCGATCTAGCACATCAATATAGGTTTCTAGCTTTAGTGTTCACCTTCTCTAAGATATCATCTCGAAGACCACCCTTAAACTTTCTCGCTTTCTTATAGTTAATGTTGACCATGTGCAGCGCAAATCTAGCCAATTCAATAAACTTGGCCTCGTACTCAGCTACTGTCATGTTGCCTTGCTTAAGTTCCATGAACTCTAACACTTTCCTGTCACGAACACATTGTGGAAAGTATTTGTCGTAGAAAATTTCCAAGAACCGTGCCCAGCCAATATCTTTATTGCTTTCATGCATCAACATCCACCACCTTCTCACTTCATCTTCTAGTGTAAAGGTGGCTAGTAACACCTTCTGTGTTTCTAGACAAGGAAACACTTCAAACAACTTTTCTATGCCAAAGACCCATGCTTCAGCCTTCAATGGATCCAATCCTCCATGAAACTGTGGCAGTTTCATTTTCTTAAATTTTTTGATAAGAGCTATGGTTCAATCATTGTTTTGCAAGTCGTGTACAGGCTGTACTGGAAGTGGAGGCGGAGGGTGTGGTTGCTGCCACTGTTGCTGTTGTCTCAATGTTTTGCCATGTCCTGTATTAATCTATCCATCCTATCTATTCTGGCAGTAAAGGACTCCTCTAATTCATCAGCTCTTGTCCTCACCATTATCTGATTAAGCTTGCATTATTCTTTATACAAAAATGTACACAAGTATGCATATATATATTTAAGTAATTCACAATGCAAGCAAATCACAAGGCACATAGCACACAGTCATTCATTTCAAGATATTTAAGTTTATTTTTAATGCCTTCAAGTTCATACTTATCACATGAATGTATCCGAGATCTTTTCTAGACGCTCTATTGCTCCTTTAGACAAGTGTGTGAGTTATCAATTCGTGCTCTGATACCATTCTGTCATGACCCGAACCCGCTCTTGTAGGTTAAGGTCATAACCGGCTAGTAATCATAAGATTACCTACGACCTCTGACAAAACCAAACACAAATTATAATAGTAAAGGTGCCAAACGGAAGCATTCTAAAAAAATTTGTCCATTGAGCTGTGCTTACATGGCATACCAAAACGACATTCACATATATCATAATAAGTCACACCATAACCAAAATAAACATCTTGTTTATCCAAGATCATACAAAAACGTATGGTCGGCCAAACAAAAGGTCTATATACATAGATGGCCCAACAGATCCGCCAAAATAGCAAAAGGGGTAAATCAATGAACAAAACAAGTCTCGTGCATGAGACATTCATGCTGACTCCACAAAAACTTGCACTCCTCTCACATTATTCACTGAAGCTGAGGTTGGACATCTCTTTGCTCATCTACATATATATACATAAGAGTGAGCGAAAGCCTAATGAATAATACCAAAGTAAAGAGGTTATATGAAAGAAATACTCTAACAGGTACCATCTTTGTCAAACACAACAAATGGCCTTAGGCCCATTCATATTCTTAGCAAATATGTCAAACGGCTTCAGGCCCAAACATATCAAATGGCCTTTGGCCCATTTTATCAAATGGCCTCGGGTCCACCCAGTTCATTCATATCAAATAGCCTTGGGTCCAATCATCGTATCAAACGGCCTCTAGCCCAATCATCGTATTAGACGGCCTTTGGCTCAATTATATCAAACGGCCTCTGGCCCATTACCTCTGACAAAACCAAACACAAATTATAATAGTAAAGGTGCCAAACGGAAGCATTCTAAAAAAATTTGTCCATTGAGCTGTGCTTACATGGCATACCAAAACGACATTCACATATATCATAATAAGTCACACCATAACCAAAATAAACATCTTGTTCATCCAAGATCATACAAAAACGTATGGCCGGCCAAACAAAAGGTCTATATACATAGATGGCCCAACAGATCCACCAAAATAGCAAAAGGGGTAAATCAAAGAACATAACAAGTCTCGTGCATGAGACATTCATGCTGACTCCACAAAAACTTGCACTTCTCTCACATTATTCACTGAAGCTGAGGTTGGACATCTCTTTGCTCATCTACATATATATACATAAGAGTGAGCGAAAGCCTAATGAATAATACCAAAGTAAAGAGGTTATATGAAAGAAATACTCTAACAGGTACCATCTTTGTCAAACACAACAAATGGCCTTAGGCCCATTCATATTCTTAGCAAATATGTCAAACGGCTTCAGGCCCAAACATATCAAATGGCCTTTGGCCCATTTTATCAAATGGCCTCGGGTCCACCCAGTTCATTCATATCAAATAGCCTTGGGTCCAATCATCGTATCAAACGGCCTCTAGCCCAATCATCGTATTAGACGGCCTTTGGCTCAATTATATCAAACGGCCTCTGGCCCATTATTTTCATATTCATGTATATGCGCATTTCACATTCATGATCATATTCAAACGGCCTTAAGCGTAATGCACTTGTATTCAGATGGCCTTAGGCCCATTGTATCCTTATCAAATATATCAAACAGCCTCAGGCCCAATTCATGTTCTTCACAGATCTTATACAAAATTTTGGCATAAAGCATACTCATTCATAATTCAGACCAACAAATCCATGAAGCTTATATGGAAGTAGCAGTTGGAAAGTAACATACGTGAAAATATCTTTACTAAGATATTACTTACAATGTTCCATCGATGGATTTGCCCTTGTGCTTGACCCTACACATTTCATAACATATTGGGTCACAAACAATTCAATCTGTTCTTAACTTATTATTTCTCTTAGGCATCTTTCTTATCCCTTTAGTTCATTTACAATGTTCAATGAATGCCTAAGAGTGCTTAGAATTGAAAGAGAACGGAAAACGGAACATAAAATAACTTTTCAAAATTTCTGAAACAGGGCTCTTCGCCCGAGTGCAGCTTTGGTCACTCGAGCGGCCTGTAAAACTCTGCAAAAGTACTGGTTGCATGCATTTTACGCTCAAGCGAGACTTCTGACAGTCGAGCAAGGAGTTTTGTAAAACATGGTTCGTTTGAGCGCAAGTCATTACCCAGACTTAAGATAGCTTTAGGTTGGCCATTTTCAATTGCAACTCGCCCCAAGATTAGGAAGCCTTTTGGCGTGAAATTTCTTGCATGTGATGTGGTTGATGATGGAGCCAAAATCCCAAAGGCTAAATCTACCACAGTTCTCTGAAGATCTTCAATCATGCTCATTAGCTCAGAAGTAGTGGGTTTATGGATTTAAGATGATCATGGTTCAAGTGCATCCATCATATACAAGTCCGTGCTTTCTGGAATGAACACCTCAGGCTTGGGTAAATGGGCCGAGGTGATGTATATGCTAAGGTTGTAAGTGGATGGTAGTGTATGGATTAGGTTGAGGTGTGAAGATAATGGGTTAGTAATGGCCTGAGGTCCTTTTGGTAGAGCTATGATCTCTTCGTCAACAAGATCCTGAATCTTATGACAGAGGCGGATGCAACGGTTTGTATCATGACTGATGATAGACACAGTATTTAGCAGGGTCATATCTTGGTGGAAGAGGATTTGGGAGGGGTCGGGGTTCTAGGAGCTCTAGGTACCCTTTTTTCTAGCAGCATTTTCAAGGCTTGAGACAGACTCATGTAAAGAGGATGGAAATTTTGGGCTTGGGGCCGAGTTGAAGTGGTGGGTTTTTGGCTATTGATGGGAGTGGTGATAGTGTTTATTTCTGAGCATTTCACAACTGTGCTACCATTGGAGCTGCGAACAACATTCCTTCTCATAGGTTTATTACCTTCCACAATGATCCCTTGCCTGATGAAATCCTTGATTTGAACCCCAATTTCATGAAGGTCCTTAAATTTGAATAATGGGAGGACTATCATTTTCTGCAATAGCCTTTTTGTGCAGATTTCTAACAAGTATACGAACTTGCTCTTTCTTTGGAGGCATGCTTTCCATCATAGCCGCATTTGCCCTCCATCGAGTAACAAACTCTAAAAAGCCCTCCTTCAGTTCCTAACGCGTTGCCTCAAGATCACGAGTTGTGGCCTTGATTTGCATGTTGTAAGAATATTGGGTAACGAAGGATTCGGTAAACTCCTGCTAGCTCTATTTCACAGAGTCCTCCAATTTAGCATACCAGATGATAGCTATTCTAGACATGGTTTGGCTGAATAGTGACAACTTCTGTACTCGAGTCAAACCCATTGGTCATAGGATATCAGAAAATAGACGCAAATGCACCATTGGATCTCCAGAGCCATTGAAGCGGTCAATATGCGGCATCTTGAACCACTCTGGTAAGATAGCCGCGATTCAATATGCCCATCCTCTATGTCTAGAATAGAGTTGACCCCCCGTGCCTTTTTGAACAGCTTTTCCAACTTGTTGACTTTGAGCGCGATTAGATCAACCTCGAATTCAAGCGGTGCCTCAGTTTGATACACCGGGGCTCTGGAAGTTTGTGCTGGGATGGGTTCTACTTGGACTGGGAAAACCAAAACACCCTCGGTTTGTGGATCTTGAGCAGTGGCAGCATTAGTTGTGGTACAGGGCACAGGATAGCCGCGGTGGGTACATGTGACGTAGAGGCCGTTACTGGCTGCAGTTGATGTTATTGTAAGCTAGTTATAACGTCAGTCTGACGGGTCGCGTCATGCTGGAGGGAGTCAACTGTTTGTTGCAAATGGAGTAATAATACCTCCAAATTTGTCAAAGACTGAGCCATGATAGGGGTAGATGCCCAGGATGAGCTGAACAAAGGTAATCTAACTGGTGAATGTCGGAACAGTGGAACTAGTGAACCCTATCTGGCCCTCCTTCGTCTTGCCATCGGCGAAAGTGAAGCAAACACTGGTTGCCTCTGAACTAAATTTCCGACTTGACAAAGTCTATCAACACGAGTCCAGAGTACCTGGGGAATATCAGAGCCTTTTGAAGTTATGGTTCCAGGCCTACCTTGCAAAAGAGAATACAGATAGCATCTCAGCCCAATTTCACTAGAATAGATATGATCACAGCTGAATGAATGTACTCCCCGCTACATTCTGCCCCAAAATAGATACCAACTTTGCAACTGATATGCACATTCCTATACAATTTCACTGTAAAGCACATACCAGTTAAAGAGAGCCAAAGCACCCTTATGAGGGAGTAGGGTTACCTTGTCCTAGTTTCGTCAGGAATTAGGGTTCACTACTCAAACAAAGTGGTTTCACGCAATCCTGTATTCGGGTAAGCATCCTGTCCTAGTTTGGAACAGTCTCTATGGATTTTCGATATGCAAGTAGGCCAAATGGTCAAAAGGGTACCTCAACAAGACTACCTAATATAGCTCTCGCACCTAACACTGAGAAGTGAAAGGAGGATCAAACGGTACAGTGGTAGTCTAAATCCAAGGGTTGTGTTCCCATCATGGCAGAGCTCGCAACCGGTCAGCCTTTTGGCAAGCTTTTGGGCCAGTCTCCGGCAAACCGTCCATGAATAGCAGATGGCAAACACAG